TTGAAAGTCTCTGAAAGACTGGGCTGCAGTCAGTTCGCCGGCTCGAGTAAAAATTGCCTCGGCCCAAGGTAATGGGCAATTAGCTGCAGCAACCTTCTGGGCCGCATTGGGTTAGTCAAACAAATGAGGCGAGCGGAAAAACAAACTCCGGCACTCCACCACTCCGCCAACCCATGGCCGGTCAATGAGCCACTCTCAGATACAGATGGATATACAGAGATACAGTTACAGATGCCATCGGGCAGATAGCCTTTAATTGGGTTTAACTGGCTGTCAATGGACACAGTCAGCCAGCGGGGGGTGCTTACTGAATTACAGGGGTGCAGCAGGACAGGGAAGTGAAGCATGATCAGGGATCAGGGGTGGCATGATCAGCGGGGCAAAGAGGAGGGCTAAGTTATGGTTAAAAATCAGCAGGGGTGCTCCTCATAAATTAGTCAAAGTGTAAGTCTGGGATTTATTTACATAAATTACACTTTAAGTGTTTAAAATCGTTTACAAAATATGTTTGAGATTAAAGCAGACTTTATATGATGGATTGTAGCTTTCAACATAAACAAACAATTCAAATTTAAATTGCATGAAATGTATGTATTTTATACTTTTAGAATCACTTTGCAATCCCCTCAGATATCTAATTGCTATGTAGGACAATATTTGCACAGCTCTTTTTCACCTCTAAGCAAATATTTATCTAGCAGGCAATCGATATGCCATAATTAGCCCCACTTCCGACACATTTTTGAGTGGCCCACAGGGGAGCCCGTTTTGAATTCGGAATTTGCGAAAAGTTGAGCTCATTTCTGATGATTTAGCATGCCTCTCAGGTTTCCGGCACGCGTTACCGCATTTCCAAGTGATCGCAGGAGCTGGAGAGACATTCACTAAGGGAATCGGAATCGGAGCTCGCCACGTTTGCCCGATAAACATAATGACGATGTGGCGATGTGACAAATTTCAGCGCATGCGCCACTGATACAGATACAGATACAGATACAGATACAGATACAGAAACGATGCGGATACGGGGCGTGTGTATCTGGCAGATACAAGGTCCGCCGGCCCTCGTTCGATATAGTTTACCCTGTTGTTTTTCGGCCCTGCCTTTGCGGTCGCTGCTGCTTATCAATGCCGCTTATCAGACTCTTCGTCTGCTTTGTAATCGCTCTTCGGCGGTATTCCCAGGCTGCATTTTAAGCGGTTTTGCCCACTTTTTGAGGTGGCAAGGCCAGCATTTGCCGCACAGATAAGTGCTATCCGAGTTCGGTGGTCAGCCTAATCGGCGGGAACTCTCCGGCCAAATATTTTGGTTTCGCCTCGTTTCAAAAATGGGGTTTTGAGCCGCTTAATCTCCGTTTCGGAGCGAGTGACAAACAAGTTTGCACTTTCACTTGAGCGCGGCGGCGGCGGCAGCAGAAGCCCCGATAACCCAGAACTGGTTGTGGCGAAGTGAATGTGCCGCTGCGGTCGCTAAGGTTCCGCCAGACCGCTGAACAAACATCTTGTTCCATGGAATTTCAGTTGAAGCCCTGATAAGGGGAGACCTTACTCAATACAGGGAAACGGGGTCAAGCAACCCGCTGGCAAGACAGTTCTGAAGAGGCAACTAAAGTAATGCAGATGTAGTACATAAATAATAATAACAAAAAGCTAAAAATAAAAGTTATAAAATATAGAAATACAGAAACTGCACATCAATAATATAATTCATTTAACAATTTCGGCCTTCCAAAATTAATAATTATCAATTTAACATTACCAAAAAATAAATGATAGAATCAACTGAACAAAGTTATAAAACATTACAAAGAAATCATAAATAAATGCAAAATGAATTACATTTTTCAATCTTTATGTTATCGTGGTATCTTCTAGTTTAAATCTTCGCTTTACCTACCTAAACTATTTCAAGTTAGAAACCTCCAACTGGTCCCCTGACCGCCCCCTTTGTGAAATACGCCCCCCGCTCCACTCCACCCCGCTCCCTCCCCTAAGAGAGCCGTGAACTACATGTGCAAGTGCTTCATCAAGTTTTAGTGTGTCCGCCATAAACACTGCATAAAGATGATGGCATTAAGTCCTAAGCCCAGCACAAATACCCGCCAGAAATCCCCGGCGAAGTGTAAAAATCCCAGCGTGAGCTCAGCTCGCAGGGAAAACAGCAAACACAGTAAACACAGTGGAAGTGGAAGCATAGAAAACAGTAAAAAACAAACACGGTCGGGAAAGAAGCTGAGGCTGAGGCTGGGCCGCGGCGTCATAAACAAGATAGATGCTTCTCTTAAGTCAAAGTTAATTGCTCTTAAATCAAAGTGAGCTACGCGATCGGAAAAGAGCAGGACGGCAGGCACACACACACCTGTGTGGTGGCGACGATCGTTATATAAAGCAAGTTTTTGCGGAAAAGCTCAAAGATGCAGCCACTACGACAAAGATATCACTTGTATCTTTGAGTTACGTAAATGAGTTACTTTCCTGCGGGGGAGCGAGTGCGAGTGAAAGAGAGCGGCGGCGCACTGAGAGAGCGAGTGCAGCGCACAGATTGAGATACATAAACAAAACGGCAAAGCATGCGAAAAGCCAGCACAAAGCGGAGAAACAAAAACAAACGTCGTGAGAAACCGGAAAATTTGCCCAATGCCAAATGTGTGTGTGAGCGCAGGCGCGAGAGAGCCGCACCGCTGCACTATGGGGAATATTACAATTTTTATGGAATTAATTAATGACATTTAAACAAAGTAATATAATATTTTTTAATTGGTTAAAGATAAAGATACAGAAAAGTTGATGGAGTGACCGGCAATTGTATTGCAGACAATTAAAAATAAAAATTACAAAAATTTTTCTATTTGACATTTTCTTAATTTTTAGGCTCTTTGTTAATCATACGTGACTTTAAAATTTCAAAAAAATTATCTTGAAGAACATTTACAAAATTGCAAAATGTTTGTAAGATACGCACAAATGAAACTTTGTTGTTAAGAGGTTTACCTAAAACAGAAACGATGCGGATACGGGGCGTGTGTATCTGGCAGATACAAGGTCCGCCTTGTTGATGGAGTGACCGGCAATTTTATTGGAAACAATTAAAAATAAAAATTACAAAATTTTTTCTATTTGACATTTTCTTAATTTTTAGGCTCTTTGTTAATCATACGAAACGTGACTTTAAAATTTCAAAAAAATTATCTTGAAGAACATTTACAAAATTGCAAAATGTTTGTAAGATACGCACAAATGAAACTTTGTTGTTAAGAGGTTTACCTAAAACAAAACACAAATATCATTAGTTCGATAAAAATGACTACCATAAAAATTTGCAAATTCCCCACTGTGCGCTGGCCGAAGCCGAACGAGGCCGGCCGAGTGCAAGAGCCGAGCTGCCCCGAACCGAGCCGAGCGCGCCGAACGAACCCACCCGAAGCCCGGCTGCCGCGGCGAGCGCTACACAGAATCATTCTTAAAAGCGCGCGCGAACCTTTCGCACCATCACACGCAGCCTGAGATACGAAAATTCACAAATACCGAGCAGCCGCCAGTTTTCCGCCACTCCGCCAGCAACTCCGAGGAAAAGCAAAGCGAGAAGAAGACCGGAAAAGCCCCGGGAGCCGAAAAGTGCAAGTGAAGTGGAAGTCGTAGTGGTTCGAAGCCAGGGGCGCGTGAAGTGGGAGTCGCAGAGTCGCAGAGTCGTAGAAGTCGGGCTAACGCCAAAGTCTCGGCCGGAGAGCGGATAAAAACAAATTGGGAACGAGGCCTACTAGCCCAAATTCAAATTCAGCCAGTTGGCCGACAAAAGATCAAGCGAAAATTTGAATAATTAAAAATAAACACGCGCGCCGCGTAAGAGAGTGTGTGTGCGAGTGCGTGTGCGTGAGCGTGAGAGTGCGTGTGAATGCGGCGTATCCGTCAGATACGCGGCCTCTGCTGCTGACGCATTTTGCCAGACTACCGTTATAGTCGCCGTAGCCGCCGCTGCCGGCCGGCTTTTTGTGCCCAATTAACGCACATTCAACAAATAGCTACCGCTACCGGGTGGAAAAACCCAGCTAAAGCAAGTGAATCCCAACTCAAAACACAGCCAATAGCGATACAAAAATCAGTGCTAGAAAATAAATACTCGTGCAATTGAGAAGTGAAACAGCGCATAGCGGCTAAGAGTTTATAAATAACTAAAACAATATACAAAAAATAAATTAAGCAAAATAACTGAATGCAGATGTTTGGCATAATAAGTGTCACAATCAATTGCTGAGCGGCGAGATCTTGAAAATAAGCGAAAAGGTGATTGCATAAGGAAATATCTATAAGGCGTCGCTCGTAGTGCTCGCTGTTACCAAGTGACCTCATTCAAGGTTGCCGCAGCGCAGCGCAGCAGTATCAAAACAATATCTTACGGATGCAGTTTACTTGGTTTCTCAATTAGCGCCCACGCGCCTAGGTAGTTTTTTTTTCTTCTGTTTTCTGTTTTTGTTTTGTATATTTTTTGCATACTCACCTGGTGCACACACTCGGCGGGGGCTTACGTGTAAGGAGGGCTTACGAAAGCGGTTGTGGCCTGTAATTAACCTTGAATCGCCACTATTTGCGCCAATCCGCCCTGTGAACTATAATTTAATTGGTCTACGCTTCTCGGAAATCATTACGGCCCCGTTTTTTGCCTTTCTATCGAATCAGATTTCCCGGTAACTTGCCACCGAATATATAGACAAATATATTATTATTTAGAAACACCCGCCTTGCGTGACAGATGCAACAATGTTCGATGCAGATACCGAAAGGAATATGTGTACTTCCATATTGCCATTTGCTCAATTAGGAATCGCTTTAAAGTGCCCACACTGGGTCATTAATTTTTAATGGGATGCTCAATAAAGTTGCACACAAACAATTAAAGCGAATGACTCACTACAAACGAAAAGAAAGAAAAATATATACCATATAAATACAAGCCACTGCGATAAGAGTCCCTGACTAACCAATGTCTCCTTCTCTTCTCCCAGGAGCCCATTGAGCTGAAGAAGCGCCTGGAGGAAGTGCGTCTGCTGGAATCGCGACGCTCCGCCCGCTTGGCTGACCAGGATCGCGACACGGACTTCGCACGACTCGCCGACATGAGTGGCGACCGCCGCAGAACCACCACACACAGTATTGAGGTGCCACCGCCGCTGACGCCGCAGCACAAGTGAGTACCACTCAGATTCTACATGTATTTTAAAGATGAAAGTATAAAGAAAACAGGGAATATTAAAAAATAATCATAAGACTTTATGGCTTTGGCTCTTTGACTTTTCTGACATACGAAAAAAAATTAGTACCAAGTTTTATATTTTAATGTGAGCACTATTAGTTTGACACATTAAAAAATATATATTAAAAAACTTAATTTGATTCTTGAAAGTGTGTCTCAATTTATGTTCAATTTCTTATATTAATATCTTTGTTAAAAAAGCTTAAATTTACCAAGTATACCGGGTTTAATAATTTCCTTAACGCCCAACAACATTTTGCCGGTTGTACCCGTTTTTATTCATATTTTATTCGTTCCTTCTTCGTTCGTTTCGTGTTCTCTGTTTTTGGCTTTTACTCATTTTTGCATAAATATGCAACGATTGGCGTCTGTGGAGACTGGGCCATATCAATAATTTATAAGTGGCGACAAATTAGCGGAACCGGCCAGCAAGTCACGGACATCGCCCGATCCATGTATAATATCTATAATAAAATTGTGCCTCCGTCTTGTCGCCCGGCTGCGCCCTGAGCCGGCCACGCCCTGGCTATTTAGCATAGACGCCGCCGCCGCCGCCCCCTGTAACTGCACTTACATAAAGAGTTCCCACCAAATTCCCCCCCTAAGAACGGCTTACACTTGCCCATGTCCCAGCCCCTGCTCCTGCCTGCTTTGCTTTCGCCGGGCTCCGCTGGACGACAACTGATTGCAAAATAATTCAAATTTTCAATTACTACCCGCTCAGACGTCGCGACGACTACGTCGAACTTAAAGACGGCGACGACGACAACGACGTCGACAAAAAATACAAAATACGAAATACTAACATTTGATTACGAAGGCAAACAGTCGCGCCGGGTGTCATAGTCTAAGTGAATGCTCTTATCAGATAGGGATACTAGAGTTTTTAGTTTAACCAGAGACAGCACGTGTAAAGGCGGTAATTATGGATAGGCTGGAATCTTTTTAATAATATTTTTTAGATAGATTAAATGCTATCAGGAAACGCTTGTATCAATTTTTAAGCCAGCTTGATCTAGATCTAGATCTATTCCGCATAGAGCATTCAATGTCCGACTTGCAAATGAAGCGATTGTCACTCGCCACTGATGGTTGCGTATTCCATTTCAATTTCAATTGATAAGCTTCGCGCGCCGCTGTCGAAACTATTAGTCAAGTGTGCAAAAAGCAGCAACAGCGGCAGGCAGCGCTGAATGCCGGCCACGTTCTCAATTGATAATAAAAATAATAACAATAATAATCAAAATAAAGAAAGCAAAAAAAAAAAAGAAATAGGGAAAAAACAGAAGAGAGTGAGAGAGCGCACGGAACTGAAAGCTGAAAACAAAAAGCGCAGGCAGGCGGCACAAAAGTGGCGCGTCATGTCCAGCCATATGGCTGATAAGGGGGCTGGAGAGTGCGGAGAGGGGCTCTATAGTGGTGGGTGGTAGTGCGGGAGGGGTTCGGAGTATTGATAGGGGGGATAGCAGGAGACTTTAGAGGGGCTTTTCAATTGCGTCGCAAAAGCCAGCAGCGACCATCCAAAGTCGAAACTGAAAACAGCTGGAAAAACTAAAACTAAGGCGGCAATGTTGCTGATGTGCATTGCTGCAGTTGATGCGGCTCGTGTGTTGCTGCGGCTTATGTGTTGCTGTTGATGTTACTGTGAAAACTATTGCTGATATTGTTGCAGTTGGTGTTGGAATTATTACTGTGATTGTTGAAGTTACTGATGCTTATGTTGAAATTGTCGTTGAATTGGTATAAATGCTGGTGTTGCAATCTCTTAAAGTTGCTGTAGAAGTCATATCCCCTTAGGTGTTGATGCTTATGTTTCTGTGGAAATAATCTTATTTTTGTGTTGGAATTGTTGTTGAATTGGTATAGATGTTGGTGTTACAACATTGTTTTTATTGCATCTCTTAAAGTTCCTGTATAACTACAGTCCCTTTAGGTGTTGGTGATGCTTTTGTTGCTGTGAAATCTATCTATAACAAATGTAGTTGGAGATTGCAATTGTGGCTGCTGTTCCAATTGTTGCTCCTGTTGTTGTATTGTTGTATTGAAAATGCTGAGGTTTATGTTGGAATTCTTACTTCAGCAAGTTCCTAATGTTTATGTTGCTAACAATGTTGCTGCTCTCAGTGGTGCAGCTAGTTACTAGTAATTTTGCTGCTGCTAAAGTTGCTCTTATTTTCCTCGTGTCAATTCTGTAAAGACTGCCTGCTGTCGATGAAAAAAGAGCAACTGCAATGCGCCAAAACAAGCGCAAAGTCAACAGCGAACGCTCTCGCTCCATTCCGTTGTTGTCTGTAATAAAATTCAAATAAAATTCAATTGAGTTCAGCGCGAGTCTCTGCTGCTGCTGTGCCAGTTTAATTTAATTAATTACAATGGCGGAGAGCGCGAGATGTTGTGGCATGTGGCACCATGTGTGTCTGTTTTGGGGGGACACGGACACCCTAAGTGTGTGTAGCCACAACAGCAACTAAAACCTACAACAAAAGCCAACGCCAAAACTAAAACTGAAACTAAAAACGAAACTCAAACTCAAACTGAAACTGAAACTGAGACCGAATAGTGCCGGGTGCTTTTGCCGGGTTTGCCGCAATTTCGGTTTATCATTGGGGGACCGGTGCCCCTCTAGTTTTAAGTTGTTATTGTTTCGAATCCGCGCGACTGTGAATACGAATGCGAATGCGGAAGTATTTTTTCCACACTCACAGATACTCGCACACTCCCCCCGCCCGACACACAGATACGCAAATAAGCTGTAAGCACAAAGCTCTCCGGCTGGAGAGGGAGAGCGAGGGAGTGGGAGTGCGGTCGGCGGCGGGTCTCTATCGTCGCCATATTCTTTACGGGCTTTTGATAGAGCGAGTCGCACACACACACGTGTGCAATGATAACAACCCGCTCACCTTGCGCACAACACGCGCTTCTCGCGTAATGCGACGTAATATCAACCCCCCTCCGCCCGCCGTAATCTACTAGGCATTCTTCTGCCATAAATGCGTCTCTTTTTATTATTATTAATTTACATAGTTTAGCAACCACTCTACCTCACCCTCCCCGCTGCCCTGATAGTTTGAGTAAACACAACTTTATATTTTTCTCGAGCAGCTTTTCTTTAATTTCCCGTATTTGTTAATTTGCCAGGTAAACAAATCAGGGCTTAAATAATATTTACCTTTTGCCGGTTTTCAGTCACTGGGAATGGGTTTGATGTAATCATAGGTTCCTTGATTGATTCTATAATAACAAGTTATCATTTATGCAAGCCTTAAATTAATTAATGAATAATAAATACTTATACAAATTAAAAAAACCCAATTCCTTGCCAGATTTTTTCATTTTCCCATTGAAAATTGTACACCCCTGATTCTCAGGTATCCTATCCCATACAGAGCCTTTCATTGCCTGTCTCTTTATGGCCCTCCAATTGCAGTTGACAGACAAAGAACGCATAATGATACGGGGAAATAAAAAAAAGAAATAAAAGGAAATATAATGATAGAAAAAAGAACGAGAAGCGAAAAAAAAAAGGTAGCGAATTAAATGCGGAAAAAAGTGGTAATAAATATAATAAGCGCGTAATTATCGCGTAAATGTCAATTTACGCGGCGAATGCGTTGCGTCAGTGCTAATTTTTAACGCTCGACTGATCCCCAGACCCGCCTGCCGCCTGCTGCCCACCGTCCCCCCTCTCTATTCGGGGTCGTTCGTCTAATGAAAGCGTGTAAGCGTCAATTGGCCAGGTTACTCAGTTATAGTTAGCTCTGGCATTGTTGTTGCCTCTGCCACTGCTGTTGTAATTGCAATGATTAACAACAGCAACCGCCGGGGGAGCATGCCCTCCCACCCGTGCCCTTCCCTACCTCCCATCCCTCCCTCCGGCAGCAGCCGTTTATTGTAAAAACAAACAATATGGGAAAATTGCAGCGAGCAAAGAAAAGCAAAAGAACAACACATGCACAGGCCCCCACCAACAATAACAGCAATAATAAATAATACAAACAAGTTTACCGTTGCAAAAAAAAAAAAAAGAATAAAGAAATCAACAAAAAATACATAACAAATTCAGAACAACAACAATATCAAAAGCTGTAAATAATTATTCAACAAGTTTTTACATAGCAGCCCATGGGAAACGTAAGAAAATTGTCGCAGCAGTTACGACATTACAATTAATTATTATGAAAGAATAAATTGTGTTAGCAAGTTCTTGGAATTAAAGAAAAACTCTTGGCTTAAAACCTAGTCAATGTATTAGTCATGGGTATTGATTGTAGCTTTTCAAAACGATTTCCCATGCAAATTGACTGAGAAGCATTGGCCACCCTTTCAGCGGATAATGCCAATGACGAGTACAACTTTTTAGGTGACGTCAAGAAATTAGCAATAACAACGGGGAAAGCTTACGACAAAACAACAGCAGTGACTCCCAGGAGGGGGAGGTAAGGAAAATAAAGGGAGGAAGGTGGGTCGAGGAAAAAACAGAATTCAAATCCAAGTTGGCTGGCAGTGGCAATTAGCCGAGACTTGAAAAATATTTGCCAGTTTGCTTATTTTGTTTAGCTTTGTTTTCTGCTGCTGCTGCTGCTGCTGGCAAGACTATGTACAAATATTATTATGAGCGACTGTTTGTCTTGCCCTCAAAAATACGCGGAGAACAGCTAGCAAAAAGAAGCAACAAGAAAAACGAGCGTAAAAAATAATACTTAATTTCAGTACAATAAAAAGTCAAGTCGAGCGCAAAAGTGGGTCAAAATTATTATTGAAGCAGAACAAAAACAAAGCCAGCGGCAAGGCAACGATAATGGCAATGCAGCAGCAACAACAACAACAAAAACAGCCAAAGGGGGAGTGTGAGGGGAGGTGGAAAAACATTGGGGGAGAGAGCAAAAATTTATAATAATTTTCTAAGCGACGGCCCCTCGACGGCAAATTATTGA